GTTTCTCCCATTGATTATGTCAGGTTGGATGAGTTGTTCAGTTTAAATTTATTTATGTTCAGTTTTTGTTTTTGAATTAATCAAAAGTCTGTAAAAGTTTGTGAACAAAAAAATAAAATACAGGCTTGTTGATAATTTTGTTTTTTGATTCGGTAGTTAATGATGTTTTTATGCCTGTTCGTAAGAGCTATAAGTTCTAGATTCTTAAATCGATCACTTGTGAATGTCGAAAAATAATAAATTAATTGATTACCCAAACATAATCAAAAAATTTACAGAACAAAAATCGAAATTTAAATTCATTCACACCATTTTTTTCTCACAATTCATTACACCAGGTACCTATCTTTCCATTCATCGTCCGCGGTGTGGGCACATCAGACCAGCTTGAACACCCCCCACAGTGCATCTGAGCAATACGCCATTGATAAGCAGTCTTGCGATGCCCTCATTGAATCTCAGATACATTCGTCCAGTGTCCAACTGTTGATCGGGCATTTTCAAGAGGTGAATTTTTTTTGATTTTTTCAATTTTTAAAAATACTTTTTAATATATCGTAATATATTTAGTGATCATAATACTATTTGAAAATAAATTAGCTGACCTAATTAAAATTCATGAAAGGTAACTAAGTGGGTGACCCATCAGATCATCAGCCAATCGAATCACGAAGATCGCAAAGCCATCCTCACCTGCCTGATAAGGCTGCTCGAAGCTTCCTTCAACATCGGAAATTTCAACAACGTTTATGAAATCATTTGTGGGCTTAGGTGAATTGTTTTTGAAAACTTCAAATTAATTTTCTGTTTAACTGAAGATTTGAATGATTTTCGTTCGAGAGAAAATTATTTTTTGAAAAAATTTGAATCAAACAAACAGCTGAAACAACAATGTTGAGTTTCAATTATTTATCCTTTTCTATCGATGACAGAGTTGAAGAATTGAAGCCATTCTGGTTGTCCCTATCGAACGAAAGTTTTTCACCGATTGTGGAAACGTGTTCCACGTTGTTGGCCTGCGAAACGAAGTACATGGAGGAGGTGGAGAGGAAGACGAGGAGGAAGATGCACAGAATCGTTCCATTCTTCGGTCTCATTGTTAAAGATCTCTACAACATAGTCCTCTGCCAGAAGAATGTTATAACTGTACCACCATGCTCTATTGGATCGCTTGATGTCAGTTATGTTCCGTTGTTGTTGTGGTTGAATGGGATGGGACATTATTTCTTTTGGTCTAAAGTCCTTGTATTATTTCCATTCAATACCAAAACAAAAACATGCCTAGTTATTATCAACTCAAATAAATTTAGTTATGCAATATGAACATATAAATTTTAAAATACAAATTTAAAGGGAAAAAATTATTTAAAGTTTTCTAAGCAAACGAACATTTGTTCAGTGAATCTTTTAATTGAAATACTAAATGTTTTCAATCCAAATATTCTCGCAGTTCATGTCTGGTTTTTCTGACGGCGACCACTTTACGACGCACATCGGAGTGAGCGGGTTGGTAAACATGGAAAAGCTGCGTCTCATGCACATCGTCCTCAACGATGTTCAGTACTTCCAAGACAATCTCCTCAGACACTCGAACGCCTGCAAGCCTGCGACTGCTGCTGTTGCTGCTGACTGGTCTCCTGATATTTACAACAAGTTACTCATACTTTCACTATGTATTTGTTTGTTGGGTTTGCATTCGTTTTAAAATTTTAAATTATTCATTATATTTAAATTTATTTCAAGTTCATTTTTATTGTTATCGAATTAATGTTGAAACCATAAAGTTTTACAAATATGGCCACACAGATCAGACCATGAAAAAATCGGAGACATAGAAGCGTCTCTACACACGTTGTACAGATTATACGCAACAAACAATTTTGAAGACGATGTCGATGATGTGGCTGTTTACGCTTCTGCTGCTGCTGATTGTAGCGATGGCCCCTATGCTGTATCGGAAGCTGATGCTAGCGATATTGACATTTTGTTGAAAGGAACTACAGCCTTCAGGTGCAATTTTAACAGAATTAATTTCAATATAATTATTTTCAGATTTCAATAAAATTAGCAACAATTTTTCAAGGTGTGCACATGTGACGATGTTTTTACTTTGCAACAAAATTTTCAAAACAGGTCTGACCAATCGACTCCTACGTTCGGCAGCTCCATCTACTATTCGAACGCCAGCCAACTATCGACCGTATCTTTACATTTGAGACTGGAGAGAGACCTGCAGACCATATCTTGGAACAAAGCAACGTGGAGTGGCCTCAATGGTCTGGCTTTCTACCGATCCTCAACCACCACGCTCTCCAGCAATCAAAAAGATTATTGTTTTGGCAATGCATACGAACTTGACAGAAACCGGCTGCTGGCACACGCTCGTTTTCGACTGCACCTGCCGTACTACATCGACAACTTCTCATCTTCTTCCGTTAATAATAATTTTTTTCAAGAATGTTCTGGGTTTTTAGACATCGGCCTGGTTAAAAAAGTGACTTTCGAAATCGATTCAACTTATCACAATCAAACGCTTCAACAATCAAAACACATTCAACCATCTGATAAACCATTCCCTCTCATAACTGTCACAAAAAGCAAAACATCTCCAAATTCTGAATCTGTTGCCGACGATTACGGCTTCTATCGACTGGGCTTTACGTTCGGATCGACAACATCGGAGAACAAATACATTGAATTCAGAATTCCGACTAAAACTGCGAAGATTTGGTACAAATGCTTAATAAAGTTGCTCAACAGACACACGAGCTACATGCGTCTGAAGGAAGATGGTCGCTTGATATGGTGCAGCAGGACATACGTGAAGTTGTGTTACTTCATGGATGGAAACATCAGGAGACCGACACTGAGAGAAAGCCTAAATGTTAGTTCTTGAATTATTTTTCATGTTAGGTAAATGACATTTGATCTTCAGTTTTCAATAAAATTTACTAATTGTACAATAATTTTCCAATAAATTTTGATTTAGTATCAACGAAAATTAATATTTTGACACACGTATGACAATAATTTTAACATAAACTCAGGAGTTGGGTTGCAGTGAGGGCCTCATCAAGTTACTGACCACCGATTCTTCGCTGGACTCAAACGACTGCCAAAAAACTTGCGCTGCTAAGGAGCTTCGCGGAAAAAATTCTATAATTTCAGTTAATAAATTCGATTGTTTTGAATAATGAAAATTAATATGACGATGTCTAGTTCACAAATTTTAATAGAATTGTTCAAACTAATTGATTAATTAACTAATGAATGCCTAACTTGACAGATAACAATGCCAACTACGTCAACATTAAAAAAAACGCTGACCAGTTGCCTATCATTGTTCAACTTTAAAAAAATTAAACTAACAAACAATTCAAAAGTGCACCAAAGTTTAAATAATGAAGATGAAGTAATGAACTCGAAAACGCCTGTATCAACAACTTTGGTTAACAAGCCAGTGACAGACGACAACATGCAAAACACTTCAAAAAATATTTTAAAATACCCTGAAAATGAAAAATCGGAAGACTCACACCTACAACATGAGGACTTGCACAAAAGAATTTTCAAAAAAATTAAATTAAAATCTAAATACACGTCGGCAGATAACAAACAAAAGCAGAATCAAGGATCTGGTACTGGAATGTGGGAAACATTGAGAGGCCCTCCCACGCTATCCTACAACGTCCCATTCTCGGAGTACACCATCACGCATAATTTTGCCTTCAAAGAAAAAAATAAAATAAATACCGACAAACTTAACGATAAAAAAATACAAGAAAATAAAAAAGATCGAAATAGAAATAATATTTTTGATAAAAAAATCAATGTGGAAGAGTTCTTCCTGGTTTTCAAACTACTTAACACCTTGCTGAGACTTGATCTCTGCCTAATATTCCGAAGGTTCAGCATAACGGATTCAACACTGGATGAAAACGACATCAAAAATACCTACATATCAAATGAGGGTGCGTGCGTTACAGGTTTTGTTGCTAAAACAAATATCACTTTTCATGTTTCCACTCGTTGTAACTAAACTTTATGATAGAATAAACATTACATCAAACGCGCAGCATCAACATTCTTGACGAGGAACACAGCGAAGACAAGCCCACCATCGTCAAACACGCGAAGTGAGATGCTGACGAGACTGGAGGGGATAATGAAGAGGCAGTGCCCATCTACGTCACTGACGGAGGTTATTGACCTTTCGACCCTGCAGTACTTCATGACCAGCATGCAGAATGATGACGTCACCGATGAACAGCTGCTCGGTTTAATTCAGGTCAGTAACGTGGCTACGCAAATTTTTTTCCGCGTTGTTTTTGCTCGATGGGTAAGTCTATTCAATGTAATTAGTTATATTTTTGTGATCGTTTAATTAATCAGTTTTATTGTCCAGTTTTGTTGAAATTCAAAATGCCCTTCAAAACATTAGGCAACAATGAACACATACACTGGCACACAAGCTGCAGAACTATTTTGTTTCACTCAAATTTGAGATCTTCGTTTTTATTTCGACCACAGAATTTTTATTGTTAACTTCCTAATCAATATTTCTTCGTATTTTCATCATGTTCACCAACACCATGATGTTCATTGCCGTTTACCCGCTTCATTGTTCACCCGCATCTTCGTGTTCACCGACAACGAACTAAATACAGATGCACGAACCGTCAGAGCATCTAAACAAGCTGAAACTAATGTCTGAGCGTGGTTTCTGTAGAATGCTAATGGACAAGAATCAGTACGCGTTTAGAAAACTGGATCCAACTGAGGTTGTGTTGTTTGTTGCTTCTTATTTTTTTCCTTTTCTCACACGCTTTTGTAATTATTTAAAATGTATTTCGTAACGGTAAAAGTATGTGATGCGTTGTTTCACGCGTATTTGTATGCACCCGCTGTTCTGTATCGTATCGTATCGTTTTGTATAGTTTTGTATCGGATTACACCGTATCTCATCTTACTATTTATATTATAATTATTAAACACAGAGTGACATGAACTACCCCTTGTCCTACTATTACATTAATTCATCGCACAACACCTACCTTACCGGGCATCAGCTGAAGGGAGAATCAGCCGTTCACCTATATTCGCAGGTTTCGCTATTTAATTAATTAATTATTTTAATTATAATAAAATAATTATAACCATAATTATAATTGAATAATAAAATTTTAAAAGAAGCATTTTGTCACAGATCCTGATACAGGGGTGCAGGTGTGTTGAACTGGACTGTTGGGACGGGGACGATGGCAATCCGGTCATCTACCACGGACACACTCTTACAACAAAAATTTCCTTCAAAGTTAGTTTTGTTTTTTGAGAGGCTAAACATTTGCAAAAAATTAAAAAAAATAAAACAATTTTTACTTATAGGCGGTGGTTGAAACGATAAACAAACATGCCTTCATAACATCGCCCTATCCCGTCATACTCTCTGTCGAAAATCGCTGCTCAATAACCCAGCAACAAAAAATGGCCCAGATTTTTATTGTGAGATTAATTTTATTGCGTACATTATTTTCTCTTAATTTATCAAAAAATTAAGTTTTTTTGTGACTTAATTGAATTAACCAGGAAGTGTTGGGTGAAAAGTTAGTAAGAGAGGTACTGCCAAGCGCATTTACAAATGGTGAACCCCTCCTGCCATCACCCAACCAACTCAAATATCGAATTCTCATAAAGAGCAAGAAACTTGAACTAGTCAATTTCTTAACAAACAATCAAGTTAGTGTGAATTAATATCCTCTTACGTACGTTGCTTCTGTCTCGTTGGTAACTTTGAGAATTTTAATTGAAATAATTTAGTTCAGTGTCAAAATAATAGAGTCAGTTAAAATAAGATTCAACCCACCAGACAACCAATCACAATCCTGTGGACTTCCAGATACATTGTGATGAAGAGGATGACGACGATGATGAAGATTTTCAAGCCGAAGGTGGAAAAAATTACGCGTTTTTTTAATCTTTGTTCTTTATAAAGCGAAACTTTTTTAAATTTGAAAAATTGAAATTTTTAAAAGAAAAAAGCGTGAATTTGATGATACCAGGGAAGGCGAGGATCCCAAGCCAGGCATCAACAGCATCCACAACGGACGATTCATCATTTATTTAGTAATATCTTTCAAACTTTTTACTTCAATCATTGTAAATATTTTTGTTTTTCAATAATAAAAAATTTTATTTTCTAGAGAAATAATTGATATGTTTGACAAAATAGCGAAATAAATTAAAATAATTAATGTTTAGTGTTCAGCTGATTCCAAAAAAAATTCGCACCGACCGACAGTACCGAAACGAACCAAACGCAGGAGGCACTATCGACAAGAGCATGTCGTTCAAGACAGACTCGAAACCAACCCAACGGACAAACTAAGGCATCCTTTTTGAGTCAAAACATATGAGGAAACAGCGGGTTGTCCGGTACCATACTTTATCCGGAACAAATTATTGTTTTCGGTAACGCAAAATCGAATACGGCGTATTCACCGAGAGCATTGTTGGACATGTTTTCCACAAAGAAATGGCATGTAGTAGCGAGTTTCTTTCGAGTAAGATTGACAAAGAGGACAGCGGCTCTCCCACATCTTCCAAGACCAACATTGAGAAGGTGCTAATTATATCATAATTTTAGTTAACACCGACCAAAATTTAAAAAATTAATAAAAATGAATAATAGATGTGCGAAAAAGACAATCCAAGCCCTTCGACAAACGCCCAGAGAGCCAAAGAAAACGATTTCGACATCATCGACGTCTACTATGACACCAACAAGAGCGCCAACAACAACGACGACGGCAACAACAACAACGACAGCCAAACCACACACGACAAAACAGAAAAGGGCAAGACAAGGTACAGCAGCAATCAGCCAGGTGGCTCCATGAAAAGACTTCTCTTTGGATTGAGGGAAAGAAGTAACAGCGGTTGGAAGCAAAGTCGAAACAAAGACAGACGATTTACTGTGGCCTACTGCAGCGGAGGCAACAGAACCATACCCGAGGTCATAACGAAACGAAACCCTAGTGACGAAATTTCGTTAGTTTTTTCAAATTTTTAAATGTTTGCTGAAAATATGAACAATAAATCGTCATGATAAGTTGGTTGAACGTGTTATGCAGTTTGAGCGCAGAATCGAAAATGAAATTGAAATCGGAAACTTCCATTTACGACAGCGAAAGTGATCAAATCTTAAAATCTAAAAAAAAGAAAAAAATGGACATAGCGAAGGAATTTTCTGATTTAGTCGTTTATCTGCAGACCGTGAAATTCAAAGGTGACATTTTTCATAAAAAAAAGGAAAACTTGATAAAAGTGATTATCGAATTATGATAATTTTTAGGATTTACACCAAAATCCCTTCCACCATCTAAGCCAGCGAACAAACAAACATCAAGAAAAAGTTTGTTCATCAATACAAACCTAATTTCATCAAGTGAGCTAATTTTATACTCATAAAGTAATTACATAAATTTTTCAAAAGCCCAATACCATTCATAAACATTTTCAAAAAATTTCCAATAAGATGAAAACGTGGACTTCAACGCGTCGCCATCGATCAACCCCTTGCTATACATGAGAAGCAGCAACAACAACAGCACCAGCAACAGTTGCAGCAACAAATCGGAACCAGCTGAATGTTACCAAGTTGCATCTCTCGGGGAGAACAAAGCGAAACAATTGTGTCGCAAGCACAACGACTCATTCGTCGCATATCCTTTCGATTTTATAGCAGTACATATGCGTTTGATTTACTTTATTGACAAATCTTGGTGATTTCATAAATCTGGAGTATGCTTTATTATTTAAATTTCATAAGAAATAATTGGTGATTTATTTTATTTATTTCAAGTTATAACATTATGAGATGATTGCTGTTGAATGATGGGTTTCCTTAACTGGCCCGGTGTTCACTCACACCATGAAGAAAGTCATCCGCACCTACCCAGCTGCTCGAAGGATAGACTCCTCCAACTTCAACCCCATCCCATTCTGGTCTTCAGGCATTCAAATGGCTGCCTTAAACTTTCAAACTGAAGGTAGTTTTAATGTGGATACGGTATCATTTGTTTCTTCTTCTTTGAAATGTTTCCAACTTTGTTTCAGATATTTGGTTGCAGGTGAACGCAGCATTATTTGAACAGAACGGAAATTTGGGTTACGTATTGAAACCGAAACACATGCGACCTCAAAAAAGTTCTATTTTTACACCACTGGAAAACCCCACATCTACCCCTACTTCCTTCTACACTTTGTCCATTCTGGTGCGTTTGCCGAACTTTTAAAAATTTTGTTCGATCGACCTTTAAGATTTATTCTGGAAGGTAGAAAGTCATTATTTTATTTAAACATTTATATACTCCTCAAAATTCGGCTGAACTCTTTTCATTTATGTCAAAAAACTGATAAATTTGTCATAATGATTGACACGAAATATAATTAAGCTGGTCATCGCAAACAACTAAACTGGCAACAAACAGCTGATATCCGGTCAGTACCTCTGCCAGAACAACCAAAACGGCAGCCCCCAGGTTGAGATTCAACTGATCGGCGTTGAAAATGACTGTGCCAAAATTAAGAGTAAGGTCATTCAGACCACTGGCTTCAACGCTGTCTGGAATGAAACTTTTGTTTTTCAGGTAACTTCGTGAATTTAAATGATTGCGTCATTTTAATGATTAATTTAATAATTTTTTTTTCATTTTGCGAATTCATTTTTGTACTCGCCGTTTCTTGAGTTATTTCAACTTTAATAAAATAAACTCGGTAAACAGATTTAATAATTTGATCAAAAACATGACAAAAAAATTTCAATTTTCTGGAAATAAAAATGAACAAAACCGACCAAGGTGACGTGTTTGGACATGGCATTCATACGCTTTCAAGTGCAGGACACCTCGACGGGCGCCGTCACAGGGCAAAGGATCGTCTACCTAAAATGTCTGAAGACGGGTCGGTTCTTTTGCTCAACCATTCAACTCAATTTCTACAGGATATCGTCATTTGTAAAAATGATTTTATTTAGATCAAATGGAACGTTATTTGTTAAAAGGAAGCTATTTACAGAATCCATTGAAAATAATTTTTTAGGTTACAGACACCTGCCTTTGAGAAGCCCAGTGAACAACGTCCTCCTTGATAACTCCACAGTTTTCATATTTTCTTCTTTAGAATACAACAACTATCCGCAACAATTTTCATCGGCGGCGATGCAGGCGAACTCGGCTTCGAACGCACCGTCAGCCAATCCACAACAAACTCTAACTCCTATCTCGTCGACAGTTTCAACGAGTAGTTTGGCGGGAAATGTTCATTCGCATCAGCAGCCATCTCTGGTTCAGAGGAGGAAATTGGCGGGAAAGATGAACAACAAAACAACATTCTTGCCTATGTCCGTTTCTCCTGGATTATCCAGAACTGATGAGGGGGTGCGTTCCTTTTAACTTGTACAACATGATACCGAAATTTATCTTTCAATAGCGACACATCAGTATTTACCCAAGCGTCGATATTTTGATAATGCAGAATCAAGGCTCCATGCTGTCATTTGTTGAACGCGTTTGTTTCGTGAATCACAAGGACCAATGTTACGTGCTGAAAGTTGACAACGACTCAACTGTTGCCAGTGTCATCAAACAGGTTGTTTGACTTCATACAATGTAGTTAATTTCTAGTGAGCGTGTATATTTATGAAATTTGGGTCAAATATCACAACTATAATAGAAAACTAATTAGAGACCTCAAATCTGATTTGAGTTCAACTTTTTAACTTTTCAGGTGTTGGCTCAGTCAAAATGCAGTGACCTGCAGGATCATGTTTGTTATGGGCTCATCGAGGAGTCGGCTCTGAAGAGCTTGGATGCCGACAAGGCGGTCTTCACGTCTGGAATGTATCTCTTCCTCGACAAAGATGAAAAAATTCTTGGCGGGAACAGGTTTTACAGAAAAACTAGCAGCCGATTTCTAATGAAGAGATATGAAAATCTGGTTCGAAAATTGTTTTTGATCATTATTGGAAGTGTATTTCAAAAAATTTACCAATGAATTATGAAAATTTTAACGAGTAGAATTTTTAAAATTCTAGGACGCAAAAAGTTTCGTGAACAGCCAAAACCCATCTAGCTCCGAAAATCTCGAAATAAATATTCGATTTGATGAAGAACTCGTACGAGAATACCGGGCCCCAAATTTTTTAACGATACCCATCTCGTACAATTGTCTCGTCTCTAATGTTATAACTCAGGTATCTTGTTTTAAATATGTTTTGTGATGAAATGAAATGTTCAATTACGATTTTTGAACAAGTCACGCTTTATATTTTTCAAAATTTTTATTAGTAATATTAAAATTAACTTAAAAATATGAATTAAAACCATTAAGATAGTAGACCAGTTATCTTGGCCCCAAGACGATAAGACATCATTGAGTCTGTACGAGAAGCACTTCAGTCTCTGCTCCAACCAGCCAGTTGTGGACACGATCTGGAGGAAGATGACCGATGAGGAGATGGTTTCCCTGGTTACTGGAGAAATATACATTGCTAAGAGGCCTCCTCTGAAATCACTTGTCAAGATTAATTCTGTACGTCTGTTTGCCATATTTCATCAGTCTGCTTACTTTCTTTCATCCTTCAATTCGATCGATTGCATTTTCTATAACTTCTGGTTGCACATCTAAGTTAAAATTGTTTTCTTCAGTTGTCAGTACATACACATAGAATAATTAAATTTATAAACCCTCTTCGCTTGTTTGACCGTAAAATATACTTCATTTACTTTACGTGCCTACTCAGTGTACCCATCTAATTTAATCTTTATAGTATTTTTTGCACTATATTCAATAAATTTGACCAATTACAAATTAGTTCAAAATACAGAACCCTTCATAAAATAAAATTTCCAGAACAAGAAACCAAAAATTAGTTTGACGTGGCAGCTCTTCAACCAACTACCCACCAGAAAATTTAACACCTTCGTCAGAAAAACTATTAACTTGAGTAGTAATTCTAACTAAAAAAATATCAAACTGAGTATAAAAATATTTTTAAATATTTCGTTTCAACTTTTTTGATATTTTTTATAATTCTTCATTTAGACGACATTTCTGCAGACTGTTACAGACGACAAAATTCTGTGATTAACAAGAAATAAATATTTTTTTTATATACAAATTAGTTGCATAAATGTATGTATTCCATGTATATTGTTGTAAGTTTTTTTACATAAGCATTTTATTTTATATATAATCGTTCTTTGCCAATTTTTCTTCAAACATTTTCATTTACTTAACGTTATTGGGGACTGATTTTAGTATGGGTAAAATGGAAAATGATGATGTGGGAATGTGTGTGTGTCTGCGTGTGTGTGTGTGTATGTGTGTCTGCGTATGTGTGTGTGTGTGAGTGTGTGTGTGTGTGTGTCGCGTTAATATTTTGTTATTTATATCGTCGTTGTCACAATCATGCTTGACAAAAATGTGAATTCCGTGTTGTTTTTCAAGAATTTGGAAGTTTTAAATCTTGAAGATATGTTGGTAAAACTATTTATTTGTTTTGTTTTGTTTTTTATTAATTTGTTTGTTTACTGTATTATTGTATTAAATGTTATTCATTTATTTATTTAATCATTGATTTGATTCCAGCACGTCTGACAATTGAATACACCTGTGTCATCTTTGTGTTATAACAGTTTAAAAAATAATGCTTTAAAATAATTTAAATTACAAATGAGTAATAATTCCACATACACGTAATTTATAGCTACAAAGTTTTACAGTTGTGCCACACAAAATCCATAAACAACAGTAAGATTTAAATTAAAAACTACACAACAACCAATACAAGAACAATATAGTAAGGTGGACAAACCAACTATATAATGATATATTAGTGAATGTTTAAATGTTATGCGCTTCAAAAACAATGCATTTTAATTATTTAACTTCATTTTTAGACAATTATGTTTCCATGGAAACTGGTAAAAGCGTCTTTTTCGTCTGCAAAATTTAAAAATTTTCATTTTTTTTACTTTCATTTTGAAATAATTTATTTAAAAAATGACAGTTCCGTACAATTCGTACATTCACACGGTCACGTTTGCTGGTTTTTTCAATTTACTCTTGAAGTACATTAATATTTTTTCTAATTAAAATCCAATTTTTAAATTATTAATTTAATTTAAAAAAATTAAGTTTTTTAGTGAAGTTTTAAATTTAAAAATTAATTATCAACTTTCATATTAATTGACTCTAATTAATTTTAATTAATTTTTTTCAAGATGGAATGGGAGCGTGTATAAATTGCTCTGGCGTACGATGCTAATATACGCCATTATTTACGCACTAATTGCAGTCATTTATCACTTGTGTTTGACGAGAGATTTCAAAATGTGAGAATATTATTAAATATATAATTTATAATTTGATTCTGTTATTTATGTTTATTGAGATAAATTAAAAAGTTTGAAATTTACAAATTAAATTCCTTTTTTACAATTCAGTATTAGGTATTAGAAATATCCAAGATGCATTGTTTAATTGTCCTTCATATTGTAACACTTGCCTTTCGTAACTACCAACACCGATGTTATAACTTCAATGATCTCTATATTTCCAAGACCACTGTTGTAGCTTCCAATGATCGTCTTAAGTTATCGTTATTCTGTAGATTCAAGATTTCCGATAGATGAACACAACTGCTTCAAACACAGACTTTGTTGAACTTTTATTTGAATACCAATAGTAATAGAAACAATAAACTAATCCGAGTAACTGAGTTACACTTTGAAAATGAAAATGAATTTTCAATTCCATATAGGCTGGAAGAACAACTGTTATAAATTATCCCCATGCAAATTTTCAAACTTTTCAATTAAAATCATGGTTAAATAACAATGTGTAAAACCGTATCGCTTATTTGGCGGGAAAAAACTTCTTTATAAATTATCAGCATTCTTTTGTGTAATGTAAAATTCTGCCGCTCATTTGTACTATGAAGTTTGGTTCAAAAATAACAATATATATAATAAGTTCCTGTATATGTGGGCTTGTGTGTTTGGTGGGCAGCATGCATTCGTGTAGGGACGTTACATGCTTTTTTGCTTTATATTATATTGAAAATTTATTAGACCAATCAACTATATTTCTATGCAATTTTCTCAAAATTTTTTAAAACTTCCAGATTATTTGAAAGAATGTTTGACTACTTCAACATGTTCCAAGAGAACATTCCAGTATCCTTTGTCCTTGGTTTTTACGTCAGCTGCATCGTGGGTCGTTGGTGGGAGCAATTCAATGCCCTACCCCACCCAACCCGTTTGGCCATCTACGTGACCTCTCACATCAGAGGCACTGATGATCGCACTCGTTTGGTCAGAAGAACAATTATGAGGTGTGTGCGTGTGTGTGTGTGTGTGTGTGCGGGTGTGCGTGTGTGTGTGTGTGTATGTGTGTGTGTGTGTGCGTGTGTGTGTGTGTGTGTGTGAGTTTGTACTTGTATTCATATGCGTTAAAGTGTCTATGGGATAGGCGATGCAAGGTTACAATAAGCGTGTTAGTGCTTACTTACCAACTGCGAATTATTTTCAAATAGGTTTGCGGTTGTTTTAACTATTATTATTAGTTTGATTATAATTGTTATTATTATTATTAAAGATATGCGTGCCTGGGTTATGTTCTTACCATGGTAACAGTTTGCGGGCCAGCCAAGAAGAGATTCCCGACATATAAGCATATGATCAAAGCCGGCATGTTCATTGAAATCACTTTTACAAAATTCTATGAATAATATCAATATTAACCACCATAAGCACCATTTTCTACTTAATAATATTCATCCTCATAAATCATCACCATCATCATCTTTTATCGTCGTCATCATCTTTACCATCATCGTCATCATTCATAACATCGACTTCATCGCATAGTCATTCACTCATTTCAGGATTTATGCTTTCGAGTGAGGGGAAGATCCTTGACAACCTGATAACCCATTTCAATAAGTACTACGTGCCATTCGTGTGGGCCAGTACCCTAGTAGCACAAGCTCGCAAGGATAACATGATCAAGGATGATTTCGCCTATCACTGTCTTCTAGATGTTACGGACTTGCTTTTTATTAGTATTTTTATCATATTTTTAAATAATAATTTTAAAATGTTATCATTAATAAAAAGATCTGTATATTTCTTCTTGAGAATTTTCTAGAGATATCAACGACAAACACACAAGCGCTTGTAAGAACGCATGGATCAATGCACACGCACATTGTAGTGATTAATAGGTAGTGGAGATACCTGTATTCGAATCCGGTTACTGCAACATCATTGCCAGGCATGATAGCTCTTACACCACCGTGCCGCCAAAAGATTTAATGAAGTCGTTCGATTTAAACAAAATTTTTCTCATTCTTACCTTACCAGGAATTGAATTTTTTAAGACGAAAATGCCAGATGATTTTAAATTATGATTGGATAAACATTCCGTTGGTTTATACGCAGGTATGTTGCTGCATGGTATACAAACACTAATATACAGATACAATACATGTAGTTGTCATTCATGTTTCAATGTTATTGTGGTGATGTTTTAGTTGGTAGGATCACGAAGTTACATTTTAAAGTTTTTGCCATGCTATAACCTACATTGTTTTATTGGCAAAAGCCTTTCTCTCTCTCTTCTCTCTCTCTCTCTCTTTTCTCTCTCTCTCTCTCTTTTCTCTCTCTCTCTCTCTCTCACACACACACACAGACATATTCAATTCTGTCATATCACAGTTGTAAAATCATAACAGTTTATCTAATGATATGTCTGCCAACCAAGTTGAAATCAGAGCAAACCATTTTTAGGTGGCTACGATGGCCGTCTACATATTCTTTGTCTCATGTCTCATCAGTAGACAGCATATACCTGTCTACACTGATACAGGTCCTGAGTTATTTCTATTTCATACTATGTGTTTTCAAAATGAATTCCTCTAAAATTTATATTTCGATAATTTTTTTGGCATTCACGAGTTTTAAAAATGAGTACACAGTATCTATTCATGTATTTATCTGTAAGTTCATTTTTTAAATTAAATTATTATTAATTGTATTCATTATTATTATTATTTTTATTATGCGTTACGTGCACAGGTAAGCCAACCAATCAAGGTGAGATGATCGTTCCGCTTTTTACCTTCCTACAATTTTTGTTCTACATGGGGTGGCTTAAAGTTCGTTATAATAATTATGATCATAAATATTAATTTATTTATTCATTTTTCATTCATTCGCTCGTTGACTCATTCATTCGTTCGTTTGTTCGTTCGTTCATTCATCCATCCATCCATCCATCCATTCATTCATTCATTCATTTGTTCATTCACTTGTAGTAGTAGTAGTACTAGGGTAGCAACGGCTGTAGTAATAGCAGTAGTTGTAATCTCATTAATTTTACTTTTGTTTGGCATCGGTAGGTGGCAGAAGAACTGATCAACCCATTTGGAGAGGATGACGACGATTTTGAAATCAATCCAATGATCGATAAAAATTTCAAGGTTGGTGAAAAAAACAAAGGTGATGACGAAGACGATGAAAATGACGATGAAGATGACAATGATGATGAAGTTGATGATGAAAAACAGGACAATGATGATGAAACTGACAGCGTTTATTATGAGAGAGATGATGTTTTATCATTTGTAAACGTTAAGCAAACGACGACACATTAACGGAATATTAGTTTAAGAATTGAAATATAGTAGTAGAAATATAGTTAAGCTCGTAATCAATATTCACATGCTATTTTATGATGCTTTGTAAAAAATATAATGAATGTACGACGTAAAATTTATAACGAAGACACGATATATCAATTCCAGTTTGAAATTTTACGATGACGACACATTAACAGCATAACGATCCATGCCATTGAAACAGCTAGGTTACATGATTGTCGATGAAATGCACGGCGCATGTCCCTCCCTCGTGAAGGATCAGTATTGGGACACCACGGATGTCCAGATGCCCTACACTGAGGCGGCCCTACCATTCTACAAAGATCCTGGCCTTCTTGGATCAGCCAACCTCGTCGAGTATTTTTTTTGTTTAGTGTTATTTTTAGAGGCGTTATTTTATAAAGTCAACAATTTTGTTGCTTGTCTGTGTTGTTCGTTTGAATCATTAATGTTTGGAAGAAATGAATAAATGAAAGAATGATTGTAAAATCGCATTCGGAATGTTAAACGAGCAATTAATTGCAGCGTCCCTCAGGAACAACAGCAGATCATCACACCCCCTGCTCCCGTAATTGAGGAAAAGAAGGAAGAACTAAGCCCGAGGTCATGTCCTCTAATATCTTAAGTTTTTCTATGTTTCTGTTTATTGTCTGTGCTACTGCATTTAAAATTAATATTTCAATACATAGGATGGCTAATATACAAACCTACAAAATTTAATTAATGATTTACAACCTATTTCAAGTTTGACGGGCGCTGATGAAGATGTTACAACGCCCAAGCTCATAGATGAACGTTCATCTGCATTCAAGTCTTTGAAGGCAACAATAGGTTTGGACGTTACAGCAGAAGAACCTGCTCCCGAACAACTCAGAGAGAAAGCATCAGTCGCAGACATCTCACAGCATCCATCTTTCTTCTCGGGTTTCCAGGATTTGTGGAGAAAGTTTTCCAACGAAGAAGCAGCCGATCAGTCGCATTTGACTCAAGACGCTCACGACGTTTCATCAAAATCCCCTTTGCCATTGCCAGCAGCCGATTTGGAAGACAGACATCACAGAGCCAGCCTTACGGCCTTCTATCAGATTGTTGAACAAATTGATCTAAACAGAAAACGCCAATCGGAATATACCAGCCCAACTGATGTGGCTGCGGGCCCATCAAGTACGAAAGCCGACGAGGCCGCCTCACTTGACTCATTTGAATCGTTCAGTAAATTCAGGAGTTTTTCGAGATACTCAACACCAACAGCCGAAAATAAAGATGAAAGCAAAAATAAAGACAAGAAAGATTGAAACGCAACATCAAATTTTCATTAATGAATTTAACAAATTTGTTTGTTCATTTGACGTTTTTCGTTTAAACATTTGATAAATTTGACAAAAAATATGATGTTCAAAAAATTACAAAAAATCAAAACAAAAATATCTCAGTATCTCAAAAAAAGAGAGTACTTCTCAATGATTCAGATTACGAAACTTTGGGTTTAGTAGGTGAAGTTTTCTTCTGAGATTTGTTAGGTTTACTTTGAGAAGGGCTCACTTTTTCATTATTTCCCGTTTCCTTAGCTGAACTTTTTGCTACATTTTTTGAAGTTGTTTTTACAGATGTGCTTGTTTTAGCGGCAGCAGCAGCAGCTTTTGAAACTGGTGCTGACTTGCTGCCTCTCTTCCTTGTGGCTTTTTTCGGTGCTAATTTCTTAATTGGACTTTTTGAAGCTCCTTTCTGGGCAATGTTATAAAATTAAAATATGATATCTGTGCAAAATTATAAAATCAAAATGTGATACAAATGATATCAATACATTTAATGCAAAATGAATTAAACTAAAAAACAAAACCAACCGCAAAAACAACACATAAAAGCATATTTCACAAATGAACCTTGGTCTTGATCATTTTGGAACTAGTTCTCCTTGCTATGACCTTCAACTTGGACTTTGAAATAAGATCTTCATGACCTGATGCCACCATTTCCTTCTCCCACTCAGCCAACTCTTTTCTGTATTTCAAACTGTTCTTTTTGGCTTGTTCTATGAAAGGCTGCAAACAAATTGGGCAATTAGGTGTGCCACTCTAACTTTTAAGAACATTTCACTAACTTGCTTGTCTTCCTCTGGCATTTTTTTCCAAAAGTCAGAAACCCCTTGAACATACATCTAAAATTATTGAATTAATTAATCAACAAAAATTATCTAAATTGAAAATTATTACAAACATTTCTTTCTAAAAAAAATATCTTAACAGCATGTCCTTTGACATCATGAAATATTATTGATAAATAAAGTCAAAGTATACCTACATTTAAGTTGGCATCTCCTCTTTCAAGCATTTTAGATTTTGCAAATAAGATGTAAGGATTGGTGTCACTGGGCTTGGGCTTTCCTAATTTTTTTTTCATCTAATAATAGATATTACAAATTGACAAATGTTATTCATCTGAAGATGATAAAATAATTTAACATTTTTTATTTTCCTGGCATGCTTCTGCACTCTTTTTTCCTTCTTCTCGTCTTTTATTTGTTTCCTCTCATCATCAGACAATTTCTTCATCATTTCCTGAAACTTCTCTTTTTCAATTAAAAACTTTTCCTTGTAGAGCTTACAAAAATTTATTGAAATCATTATATATTATGATTTTCAAAATTTTTTTCAAAAAGTCATTTACCATTTTGTCATTTTCAGGCATTTCTCTCCACATTTTACCAACCATCTTGCCAAGTTCTGGTATCTTTAATCCTGTCAGTACATTTAATTAAAACATTTTACAAATGTTTTTAAAATAAAATTTAAATAAATAAAATTAAAACAATTATAAAAATACAAAAACTTTGGAAAATGACTGAGTAAAAAATAACCAGGATTTGCTGATCGAAGTTCAGACATTTTGTCATTTGAGAAAATCATGTAGGGCCCTCTGGGGGCTTTCTTTATCAGCTGCCCACCAACATTTTCTTTCTGTTGTAGGTTTGAAATTGATGATGCTAAGCATCTAACAACATGGGTATACAAATTAGCCTTCTGTGTTATGGTAGTCAGAGACGGTCTTCACAATTTAACAAAAGTTTTAAAATATTTAAAATTTAATTTAACTGTACTGTAGTAATAAAGTTAAAATTAAAAGTAAATTTTTTTAAAGCAAAACTTACCATTAACAAAGTTTTTAACATCAAAACAATTTTAATGTGAAAATTTGAAACAGATTAAAAGAAACTACTTGATATGATAGCCCAAATCCAAATTCACGAAGTTCCTCCCTAAACTTATCACATGCTTAAAAATCATTTTTAAATTCAGAGCATTAGAATTTGATTTCAATTTGAACGGACGAAACGTAAGGCAGGCTAGCCACGCAAACAAATAACTAAATTCGAAAGGTCTTCCACAAGGAGAGGCCTATTTACCAATATACAACACTTTCTTATGGGTTGAAGCAGTGATATGCAAATAATCTAAATTTTTTCAACTTTTAATTACTTTCGGTAATGTCGATTTTATTTTTTTAAATTTATACCAGATAAAAGTAATTAATTACCACATTGAATAACAATTAAAAAAAATAAAAATATTTTAAATAAAAGCAATATTTTGTAATTAGTAAATATACGATCGTAACTTTTGACTCGAACGATAAAAAATCACCCTCCAACTCCCTCCTTGTTCGACCGTTGAAAGTGAGCGAAGGCCGTTATATTTATTCTAGTTATATGTATCAAACAGTATCTTATTGAACAAAGTAGTATCATTGAATGAATAAAAATAATTTTTTCAAAAAATTAAAAAATTCTCACTTTGATTTCATTGCGATATTGATTATGATGATTGTGACCTGACTAATTAAAAAACATCAAATACAATTTATTAAATAGTATGGGTAATTTGTTGCGAAATCGTTGGAGGAAATGACGTCATGTTAATAGTAGTTATTTTACTGCATGGTAGTTAATCAGCCGGTATAAAAGTTATATTCAATTCCTATCATATAAATTTGACCAAATATCATACGCAGGCAGAACTAAATAAAGAGATAGATGGATGGATGGATGGATGGATTGATGGATGGATGGATGGATGGATGGATGGATGGATGGATGGATGGAGGGATGGATGGATGGATGGATGGATGGATGGATGGACGGACGGACGGACGGACGGACGGACGGACGGACGGACGGACGGACGGACGGACGGACGGACGGACGGACGGACGGACGGACGGACGGACGGACGGACGGACGGACGGACGGATGGATGGATATACATAGTTATAATACATTTATTATGTTGTATTTACACATTCAAATTGTACAATTGTGTTATGGTGTTGTCTCAAAATATTTTGAATTCTCTCAGAAAAATTTAAACTTTAGTTACTTTTATCAACAATTTAAAAAAATTTCAATTTAGTTTCATCGTGATATCGATAATGATTTTTGTGACCTGACTGATTAAAATGCATCAAAGAAAGTTTTTAAAATAGGGTGGAGAATTTGTTATGTAGTGATATTTGTATATAAAGCGAGCAAAATTTTAATATAAAGGCGCTTATAAATCTACGCATATTGGCTCAGCTTGGCTTGGCCCGACTTGGAATTGGATGTTAAGCAAGGTGTGTCTCAAACTATTTTGAATTCTCCCAGAAAAATTTGAACTGCGTGCGTAGCACTTATTACTGTTGTTTTTATAATGAATTTATATTATATATTCTATATATATTATATAGTCACTTTATATATATATATATAAATAAAGTGACTAGAATCCATAAAAAGCAATATAGCACATTCTACCAACCAATCAAAAAGTTTCGAAGGCGATCGTTCGATGACGTCAATTTAGTAAGGTTAGCATTTTGGTTAAGACTGTATAAGACTTTTTACTATGTAGTTGTTATTTTAATAACAATTTAAAAAAAAAATTCAATTTGATTTTATCGTGATATCGATGATGATGATTGTGACCTGACTGATTAAAAAGCATAAAAAAAAAATTGAAAATAGCATTGAGAATTTGTTATAGTGGGGTGTTCGTATATAAAAGCGCTTATAAGTCTACGCATATTGGCTCAGCTTGGCTTGACTCGGCTTGGAATCGGATGTTAAGCAAGGTGTGATCTCAAACTATTTTGAATACTCCCAGAAAAATTTGAACTGCCTGCATACATATATAGCACTGATTAATGTTGCTTTTATAATGAATTTATATTATATTATATATATATATATATATATATATATATATATATATATATGTATGTATGTATATATATATGTATATAAAGTGACTGGAATCCATGTATACAAATAAATAATAAGATTATATGTTTATATAAAAAGCAATATAGCAGATTCAACCAGCCAATCAGAAAGTTTCGAAGGCGTTCGTTCCATGATGTCAATTTATTAATAGTACGGTTAGCATTGTTGTAAAGACTGTATAATAGTGTTGTACATACATTAAATAAGTTTTTTACTGATGTGAATGATTGAAATGATGAAAATGTATGGTTGAAACGAGTATAAATAGGAGCTGAGACAGCATAAAATCAGATCAGGCATTCTGCCTCGCTTGAAGCAGTCTGTCTGATCTCATTTATTTTATTTTTTTAAATTTTTTATTTTTATTTATTTTATTATATAGAGTTATATAGAGTTATATATGTTGCTTCTGGTTTGTGTGTTTGTATGTGGTATTTTTTTATATATTTTAGGTGGGGTCTTTAGCGGTTGCTCATACATACATACATACATACATAATGTTTGTTTGTGTGGTAGTATTTTATGTTCTGTTTTACTCTTTTTTCTCTTTCTTCATGAGTCTTGAGTTAAGTTAATGAAACATAGGTAGGTGTGATTAAAAATTAATTTATGTTATAGGTAGGCTAGTGCATTAGGTAATTGAGTTACATAGGTAGGTTAAGGACTTCTATTCTTTTACTCTACTTGGTGGAGTGTTATAGATTTAGAGTTAGTTTGTTAGATGTCACATAATGCATAAACAGGTACGCGGTGGTTCCTGGTTTTAATGGGATTTTTTTTGATGTAATGTGGTGGTATGCAGGGTTATATAGAGTTATATAGAGTTATATAGAGTTATATAGAGTTATATAGAGTTATATAGAGTTATATAGAGTTATATAGAGTTATATAGAGTTATATAGAGTTATATAGAGTTATATAGAGTTATATAGAGTTATATAGAGTTATATAGAGTTATATAGAGTTATATAGAGTTATATAGAGTTATATAGAGTTATATAGAGTTATATAGAGTTATATAGAGTTATATAGAGTTATATAGAGTTATATAGAGTTATATAGAGTTATATAGAGTTATATAGAGTTATATAGAGTTATATAGAGTTATATAGAGTTATATAGAGTTATATAGAGTTATATAGAGTTATATAGAGTTATATAGAGTTATATAGAGTTATATAGAGTTATATAGAGTTATATAGAGTTATATAGAGTTATATAGAGTTATATAGAGTTATATAGAGTTATATAGAGTTATATAGAGTTATATAGAGTTATATAGAGTTATATAGAGTTATATAGAGTTATATAGAGTTATATAGAGTTATATAGAGTTATATAGAGTTATATAGAGTTATATAGAGTTATATAGAGCATAAATTCTATATAGATACCTTTCTTTGCTCTTCTTTTCTCTTTTCTTTGTCGACCGGTCGGTTTCTTTGCGGTTATTTTCATTTAAACTGAATAAATAAGATTTTACCATTCATTTAGGTTTTTCAGGTTCATTTATCCAGGTTGAAGCTTCCAGAGGAGTTCATCGTGGACGATCAGAATGGTTGTGATGTCACGCTACGTTCGTTCATTCGGTGGCAAAGAAAGCACGCCCTGCTGGGGTACGTTTTACGGTTTCTTTGCGGTTCTTTTTTTTGCCAGTTAACTGGCTTTTCCGGCGGAATTCACCGCGGCTCGTTTTTCTATTTTTATTTAAATTAGTCAAATAAATAAAATTTTTCCATTTCATCCATTTTATTCAGGTTGAAGCTTCCAAAGGAATTCATCGTGGAAGATGTCAGGCTACGTTCGTTCATTCAGTGGCAAAGAAGATACGCCTGGCTGGGATACGTTTTATTCTTTTTTCTCTGTTTTTCTCTGTAATTTAACATTAAGTAAGAATGCTCACACGCACATACACACAATTACATTAAGTAGCTATATATGTAGGTTAGATAGGCATAATTTTAATTGTAGGTAGGATAGATAGGAAGCATCCAACACTAATGTAGTTGAATAGGTAGGCAGCGTAAGTTTATCTCTTCTATTTTTTCTCGCACCCACATTACACGCATCAGCGTATTATACACACACACACACACATACATACATAAACACATACTAGTATTTGAGCGTTATTTTATTTTTATTACACATTCTAATTTATTATTACTAAGGTTGAGAGCAATTTAATTTCATAGGTAGTTAAGGGCAATAATGTAATTCTAAGAACAATCTTGTAATGTAAATTAAAACGCTGTAAGTGTATCTATAAGTAGGTTAATTATTAAGTTTTATATTATTATTATTACTAAGTTGGAGCCCAAGGCATTACGTAGGTGGTGGGGTGGGTGCCGAAAGGCCAATGAATTGGGCTCTTGAGTTTTGTAATTTTAGGTAAGCTAGGGCCATAATGTAATAAATAGGTAAGTTAAGGCTACGTTGTAACACACACTCATTAATAGATTTAGGGTTTAAGTTTTATATTATTATTACTAAGTTGGAGCCCAAGGCATTACGTAGGTGGTGGGGTGGGTGCCGAAAGGCCAATGAATTGGGCTCTTGAGTTTTGTAATTTTAGGTAAGCTAGGGCTTAATTGTAAAGAATAAGTAAGTTGAGGGTACGATAGCCGATAGACTCTGAATTTCGAAGTCTGTTGTCAGAGGTAAGCCTTGGTGGCCAGTGGTGAACCGGCAATGGTTTACTATCCGGACGGCAATGGTTTACTATCTGCACGGTAATGATTTACCATGCGGCACGGCCATAGTCTACTACCCGCACGGCTTCCGGACGGCAAATGGTTTACTATCCGCACGGCAATAGTCTACTATCCGCACGGCAATGGTTTACTATCCGGTGCCCTGGTTGTCGGTGAACCTCTGTGCAAGGAGGGAAAATGAAGGGGGACTTTCGACTATCGTACCATTAACAATTTAATATAGATTAGTTAAGGTAATTGAATAGGTAGATAGGATTATTTTTATTAAGCAATTTAAGATGCAGGCACCGCTAAGCTTTCTGATGAGAATCTACTCTTTCTCCATCAACACGGGCTGTTTTGGAGGACAACGTAGGAACCGGACCGCATTCAACATTCTGCCTTTGTCGGATGGGCGACGGTAAGTTTTTTTTACATTTTACTCTCTTTATTATTTTAAAATATTATTTATTTGACATTATTTTATTTTATTTCTAACATTCATTTACTACTACGCAAATAAAAAAATTCTCTACAGAATGACGAGAGGTGGGCAGTGGTGGGAGTCAGCACGTTTCAAATGGTGGTCTCATGATGGTGGAGTAGGAAGAATCAGCTCGTTGGCTGGTCGACTGACACTCTGAAGTTCGGATGACATCTTGTGTGCCGACCAGATGATGGTGGTCGGTGCAACAGATTACAATAACGACGATTTTTGAAGTAAGGTTTAGTTTCGATTTTCTTTTTCTCATTTGTTCATTTTATCACTCAACCTTTTAAATTATTTTTCCATTAATTGATTCGTTAATTCATTCTATTCATTAATTGAATAATTGATTGATTAATCATTTATTCGTTCGTTCGTTCCTTTGTTCCTTGATTTACTACTACGCTAATAAAAAAAACTTGTCTACAGAATGATGAGAGGTGGGCTGTGGTGGGCGTCAGCACGTTTCAGATGGTGGTCTCATGATGATCGTTCCGATGACAATTTGAAGAAAACAACAACGAGGGTTTTTGAAGTATGGCTTAGTTTCTTTTTTTTATTTTTCTCCATTCATTCATTCATTTATTCATTCATTCCATTCATTCATTCATTCATTCATTCATTCATTCATTCATTCATTCATTCATTCATCCATTCATTCATTCATTCATTCATTCATTCATTCATTCATTCATTCATTCATTCATTTTATCACTATATTTCAAATTATTCCTCCATTAATTGTTTCATTGATTCATTCTATTCATTGATTAAATCATTGATTGATTAATTAATTAGTTTATTCATTCATGCAACCAATCGTTCATCATTTATTCGTTCGTTCCTTTTTTTCTTGATTTACTACTTTGCTAATTAAAAAAAACTTGTCTACAGAATGATGAGAGGTGGGCTGTGGTGGGCGTCAGCACGTTTCAGATGGTGGTCTCATAATGGTCGTTCCGATGACAATTCGAAGATAATATTAAAGGGAAATATAAAAGTACTCGAATTTAAACAGAGGATTGAGTGTTATCTCAAAAAGATAGGTTGCCTATTTTTTCCAATGGCTTGTTTTTTATTTTAATGAATTAATTTTTTTTCAATTTAATGTTTTTCAGTATCCGGTCAAATTCACTCCATCGATGCGTGTCAGATGATGGTCGGTGCAATGGAGGTTCGTCGGTGGTGAGTGAAGAAGTTTCTGGAGAATACACGCCCGCACATTTACACACACACATCAATAAAACACACATACACAACATCCATTCATTCGGTGTCGTTGTTATGTTTCCCTTTAAACTTCTATTTTCTTTACCGGACTTAATTTAATTCATAGGTAAGTTAGGGATTGAGATGAGTTGAACAATCGTAGGTAGGCTAGGCCTTAACATTAGTTAAAAAGTTTCAAGTAAAATAAAAACGCTAAAATATGTTATATAAAATACCTGAAACATGTAAAATTTCTAAAACGTAGAAATACAAATTTGAGGTTAAGTGAGTTGAGTTAATGATTATAAGTAAGCTAGGGCCCTGAGAGTAATTTGATTGTAGGTAGGTGACTGACTACTATTCTTGCGACTTCTTACTAATTTTGTGTGATGGGTTTGTTTTTGCTTTACAGCACCACATCAACAAAACAAACTACATTCTATTCTCGTCGTCACCTTAAATTTTACCTTTTTGAACAATCTTTTTAATAATGTCTATTAATTTGTTAAATGTTGACTTTTTTCTAGTTTTTTTTTAATTTGGTTATATAATTTTTGGATATTTTTTGATTTACTTTGTATATATGCATGTATAAGTAATTTCTGTTTGGTATGTTGATTTAGTCATTATGATATGCTGTGACTGTTCTTACTAAATGCTATTGTCACGTGAATAATTCTCCGAGAACTACTAAGAAGTGTGTATAATAATAATAAAAATAATAATAATAATGGATAATAATTATTTTTTATCGGTCAATATTTTGTTATATTTGTTCGTTTAAAATTCGAATTTTTTTTTTTAATTTACGTTTTTACAATATTTTTGAAGGAATTCGAATAAAAGCAACTATTGTGTTTTTCTTTCTTTACTAAAATCTCGAAATTGTTTGTAGATCTGTTCGGTTAAGTGTTTGTTCGAGTTTGAACAAGCATTGAAAATATTTTTTTTATTTTTTTTTTCCGTTAATTTGGTTCATTGATTAATCGATTGGTTGGTTGATTAGTTGATTGAATAAATGGTTGGTTGATTGATTGGTTGGATGGTTGGTTGATTGATTGGTTGACTGATTAGTTGGTTGATTGATTAATTGGTTGATTAGCTGGTTGATCGATCGATCGATCGATTGACTGATTAATTGATTGATTGATTGATTGATTGATTGATTGATTGATTGATTGATTGATTGATTGATTGATTGATTGATTGATTGATTGATTGATTGATTGATTGATTGATTGATTGATTGATTGATTGATTGATTGGTTGATCGATCGATCGATCGATCGATCGATTGACTGATTAATTGATTGATTGATTGATTGATCGATCGATTGATTTCATAGTATTGTATACATAAAAAAAAATCCGATTAAGCCAACCTACGGCTTCAGTAAGGCATTGTTTTTCACCAGACAAAAGCAATTTATATATTTATATTGACAAAAATAATTGTGATATGAATATATTGATTTATTTAAAGCATTATATGTACAAAAAACCGCTATCGTAAGAGTTCTATGAAACCCTGTAAGCCACTGCAGTAAGCCAACGTATGATTTCAGCAACCAGTTCCTGTGAGCACCAGCAGAATGTAAAATATTCATTGAATATAATGAAGATAGTTGTTCAAATAACAATTTTGATTTATTTAGGCCGTTTATTTCATAAACAAAATTTTTTAACATGATCGAATAGCGTAAAAAAGAGTGACTATAGTAATACATAATTCTATCAAATAAAATTAAATAGAATTACTACAATGTTTTAAGCATATTAAGTAAAGTAAATATTTCATATAGCTTGCTCGTTAAAATCCATGCAATTTCGTAAGCCAACGATCCAAGCATGACAAATAGCCCGACCGATTGTTCGTAACTTTTGACTCGAACGATAAAAACCACCCCACAATTCTCCTCCAGAAATTAGCTCCTTGTTCGAACGTTGAAAGTGAGCGAAGGCCGTGATATTTATTCTAGCTATGTGCATCAATTCCTTAAACATACAACTTATTTTTTTAACTATGTTATGATTTAAAAATTTTTTTATGTTTACAACAACATTTTTTGTCTAATAATGTTTGTCTTACTATTTATTACAAAACTTCTAAGAAATAATTTAGTTTTACAAATATTTTTGCAGTGCTTCATTTTTTAGATTTTAACCGTTCGGTTATCAGTACCATATTCTAATTATATGGTCTTCCATACAATATATCTCAGAAATATTCAGAGAAATTATATCTCTGAATAAATGAGAGTAGAACCCACGACATAAAAATCATAGATATACATTAAATCAAATCGTTTTCACGCTCATTCTAAATATGGTTAATAAGTGCAATCAAGAAATCAGTTAAAAAGGCAAATAAACTGACAAGAATAAGAAAAACTGAATGGTGGTATATCAGGAATTGGGCTACCACACCATCTTTTTTTTACAAAGTAGTATAGTTCATCACATTCATCACAGCCCATTTCTAAGCTGGATTTTTATCTGTAACCTCAGTCCTGATAATTTACAGCCTCTACGTTTCAATAGACCGGCTAAAAGCACACACTTTCGAAAATTTAGAGTACCGAAACAGAGGTCAGCCAGATCTGCTTACATCGACGAAGTTTCTCCTTTCTTTATACAACACAAAGGCAAGAATTTTTAGAAATATATATTTACCGCAAAAATTTTTATAATCATAATTAAAAAAACGTCAGATAATTCAATTAAAAGCTTATTTTGGAAAGAATTTAACGTTAAAACATTCGTGAAAAGTAGAAAGTATGCAACCGGACAAATCTAATTTGATAACGTGAGTGGACAATTTGATATTCAAAATATCTTGCGAATAATGGGCTCAGAAAAGAGTGAAAAAAGTTTAACTTATAGTAAAAAATGATTGTAAACTAATGAGCTCAAAGATTCGTAAGATAATCTGAACACCAAAGGCCCAAAACAGCATATCAAATGAGATTTGATATTAATAAATGTCAGTAAACAATAATGATTGAGTACATGAAAGTTCATTCAACATAACGAAACCAACAGAAAAGAGACAAACGATCTACAAAAGGAGAAACATAATATTTAAATCAAATTGATTCACATTATTATTAATATTATTATTATCATTATCACCATCATCACCATTTATACTTTTAATCATAAATAATTCTAATTTTAAAAAATATAAATTTCCATTTCGCCTATAATGCAGCTGTCACATAGAATTAATGATCTTCATCATGGGGATTAGAATTAGGGCCACTACCGGATCCAACTCTTCCCGTAGTTCCTCCTCCGCTGCTGCTGTTGCCACCACTGGGTTTGTTTACCACTGCCCCCTTTCCTCTCATTGGTGGCCTTCTGGCTCCTCCTCCTCCGGATTGGTCCTTCTTCTCCTCGATGTTTATGCGACGCTTCCCGTGCAACATTATTGGCTGTAAGAGTTAATTTCACTTTTTAGGAAATTAAATAAAAAGGGAAGATACAAAAATCTGAAAAAACTTAAACTGAGACTATAACAAATGAACTAATACAAACCTTTGCTTTCATGGCTTTGGCAACTGCTTCATGGCTGTCAAAAGCTACGAACCCAAAATTCTAGGAAGAAAAAAGACAGAAGTGTATCAAATAATACAGCAAATATATTATATTATCTTGCATTTCTAAAACATTGTAAACACTAACAAATAAGCAAAATAATTTTGAACAAGATGTTTTAAAAATATAAAAATGAATAAAGCATACAGGCAAATCCCTTGTTGCTCCTTTTCTGTTGATCTTTATGTCAATGACAGATCCAAATTCTGTGTTGGACATTAAAGACAACAATATACCAGTTGTAGATTGATAATATTTGATCGAATGTTTAGTAACCACATTAAGTAAAAACGAGTAAAAAGTTACCTGATAAGTCTGTTAACAACATAAACCAAACAGATTAATATTGACACCAGTAACAGCAACGTACAACCAAGCTATGCAGCAGCTGTCCAAATTAAAAGAGGAAGAAAAATTACTTTCAAACAATTCCTTTATTTCCTGCTCAGTGATGGTGTGTGGGAGGTTGCCAATGAAGAGTTGCTGGTTGTCAGGTATGAAGGCAGGTGGTGCCTTGCCACTGGAATCATCATTGTTGGTCGACGGGGAGATGGATGATGGCGGCGTGCTCTCAGACCACTTCTTATCCCCAGACTGAGGATATCTTAACAAGCAAAAAGTTGAAATTGTAGTCAAGAAACAAATTTACACAAAGAATTTAATGACTGAATTATTTTCTTAAAAAGAATTTTTTGATAAACTATCTCCAAACTACTTCAAAAAAATACTTAAAGAGAGCCTAATACTTGTTTTGAGCTTGTTGATGTTGCCTTGAGCCTCCATTGATTCCATTAGCAACTGCATGCTGATGTTGATGGGGAGTAGCAGCTGTTTCAGTCTTCCTCTCTGGTTTGATGGTTGCCTGGGGCTTCTGTAAGGGCGTGGCCACGTTTGGAGAGGGTGTCGTGTTCTTGCTGGCCAGTGATGCCCAGGAGAACACCTTAGGAGCAGCCAGTGGTTGTGGCTGCTGCTGTGGCTGCTGTTGTGGTGGCTGATGTTGCAGACTTTGTGCCTGGCTTGAGTTACCTGCTTTTGAGAAGTTGTATATAATTATAAGTTGTATATTTGTAAGAGATATTTAAAACCAATGAATAAATAAATAGATAGATGCAAAAGAAATCTCACTTTTAGTTGGCTTCTCCTCATCAACCACCTTGACCTCAGTGGCCTCAACAGGAATAGCTGGTGTTGGGGCAGAAGTTGGAACCTCGAGTGGAGTGGCATGTTCGCTTTTAATCATCTGCTCAACAACCGCTGTCATCGATGTCTCATCATTGGTTGGACTGGCCAAATCAACGTGTCCATTAAGTTGCTGCTGCCCATCGAGATGCTCACTCAGCTGATTGATAGCATGATCTAGTTTCGTCTGATTGGCTACCACTGCAGCAATGGGAGGAGTTGGATAATCTTGCTGTCCAGCCGAATCCATCGAAGCTCCCAAGTAAGCAGTTGGTGCATTGTTCACCCTGCTGATAATCATTGTACAACATGTTAAGAGAATAAAAAAAGCAAAAGAATATGTGATAGAATAGAACAAAGCCAAACAGAACAACAACCTGTCCTCTAGAACATGCAAATCCTTCCCAGTTACATCAACAGTTGATGACTTCATTTCAACATTCACCACTTCAGGCCTCTCGTCTTTATTTAGAAAATTGATAATGATAAAGTGAGAGATAGACAAACTTTAGTTGTACATGTCACAATGAAAGACAAAAACTTCAACATATAATGCTAAAAAAGAAAAAACCCTGACCTCTTATTATGACATATTCCTCTTCATAATTGATTCCGTCATCAAGGCCATCCATAAAATCATGGAACACCTCATCCTGGTAACGAAAAATATCGTTGTGTACGTAAAAATTCTTTGGAGTTTTCTGTACTAATACAAAAGATTGCATGAATCGTCGCATTGGCAGGCCATTCGTCGAGAACTCCCCGGAGACCTAAAAAAAAAATAATTTTTAGCATAATTAAATTTGAAAAAAATTTTCAAGAAACATTATATTTATTGCAAATAATTCCTCCCCACCTGGACAAGAACTGAGTCATTAACACTCCTCTGGCAATCTACCTGTCTGATTTTTGTGCGAGCGTCACAAAAATTCATGGACACTATTCTGTCGTGGATGACCTTGAACAGAAACGAAATAATTGTTTCAACTAGAGATTAAATTGTTAATAGAAATCAATAACAATACCATAAAGCCATCTAAGGGAAAGCTGCCAAGTAAGAAATACATTTTAAAAAGATATAAAAAAACGAAATGTGAACAAACTAACTGATTGTCCATAATATGCAGGCCTCTCTTCGCCTGCCTTCTCAATGCCACCATGGACATAACTTGAATCCTCGGTGAAAAATCTACAGAACAAACAAACATTCATGTTGTTGTGCTACTCAAAATTTGACATGTAGTATGCCTAAATTGGAAAATGCATTAACTCATTGTGTGGTTCAAATATTAAGGCAAACTTATAAAGTTGAGGAAATGTTGATAGATTTTCTAATAAATTATTCTAATAAACTTTCTATTAGTGAGAACACTAATAGGCCATACCTAATTTAAACATGCTCTAGGCGCCTAGCATCATCAAATAAATTGCTGGCATCAATCACAGTATTATAGTGACAATTACTCATCTTCATGCATGCAATATGACCTCACTTTTATTAAGGAAAAATATTAAATTTTTTACTAACATGTGCTATATGCCAATCAAATAGTGATAATTACTAAGTCTAATTATCACTGTTTACTTCAAATTAACAGCTTATCAGGGAAATATGTCTACAGAGATTTTTTTAATTTTATTAGTAGCTTTTATTAAGAAAAACAAACAAGAAGTAATTATTTTATCCAACAAACACAGAAGCAAACATCAAGCATGTATATGTAGATGCATATCACATTCATGATCAGTCTTTAATTTTCAATCAGCCCATTTAAAATCTTTTAATTATTAAAAAAATGGAGACAGTTGAAATGAAATAATTACTGGTGCAAACAGTCGGGCCTTTGGTTGAGAATGGTGTAATATTGTCGCACGAATTCTCTCCCGACGACGTCAACGTTCCAATCCGATTCCATTTTCTTCGTGAAATTGTTACTAAAAAGGTAAAATTAATAATCCACTAATTTCAGGTTTAGGTAATTGTCCAAACTGCGAACTATGCCATGAACAAATAATTAGAAATCGGCGAAACAAAAAGAAAAAAACAGTTTATGACGAAAATATATTATTTATCAAAACTTAAAAGTAAAAAATTGAAAATAAAACGTTAAATTTGCTGAATAATCACATTTTTGACCAACTTTGTGACAAACCTCCAAAGGAATTTTCGCTCAGGATTCCAAAGATAATAAAACGAAAATGATATTTCGAGATGAGATCTGAGATTGTATATATGTGTATATATATAGTGAATATGGTTCGATTTTTATGATTTTTGATTACTTTGATTCACAGCAATAAAACTGATAAGCATCAAATTTATATGAATGTGTTTTGTATTTTTTCTCTATCCTTCCTACTTACCTACAAAATTATCTTTAACTTACTTAAAATTTTTTACTTACGTAAAATTGCAGAGCCCAAATTCATCAAAATATGTGAGCAATCTAAATATTGGTTGCTCCAAACCCACCACATAACTCACGCTTTCATACCAAATTTCTTCACATCATTTATTCTTATCATGTTGTTTAATAGATACAAATTTGTTAAATTTACCAACGCTATTTACTAACGCTACAATTTTAGCTAACTGAACATGGATATAAATGCATGTAACTGAACTAAATCCACATCACACTATCATATACTACTTTGAATTCATATATTGCAATACTTATATTGACATATATACTTATTACAATACTTCTATTATTTATATCTACATTAGAATACGTCAAATACGATAACATCATATATAACAGGACGAAATGAAACGTAACATAACATTTTATTACAATATAGCACATGAATAGAATACTTATGTATATATAATTGTATAGAAGTAATAGAAGTATAAAGTATACAAAGAAAAATTTGTACTTCAGGTGTTTCTCGATAACTAGCCAACCCTATTTGCTTGTTGATTTTCTCTATGTAGGTTGTAATTAATTTTGCTTCGGAGTTATTTAAATAAATATTTCTGGAATATTTTGATCCGTGAGTATTTTATTAATTTGTGATTTTATAGATTTTAATTTATTTCATGTTTGATTGTTTCTCTACTGTAGATCGACTTAGAAAATTTTCAAGTGTGGGCGCGTCAATCGCGTCAATCAACCAACGTCAACAATTTTTATTTACTAGGACGTATTTTTTTACCTATATTCTTCGGTCACTAATTTTTAATCCTTCTCTAACCCGGAAAAAGATCCTCAATATTTCATTTTATTGGCCAGTATATATTCAGTTAATTTCGTTCGGGGTCACGTTGTTTAAAGTTACTCAGTAGTGCTCCGTTCTCATTTGTATTCCTTCCTTCCTAGATTGACTCATCATTCCATCTCTAATCAATCAAGAAGATGTTTAAGAAGAAGCTCACCCCAATTGATCATGTCAAACATTTGAAAGATAATTTAGTTTCAATGTCGAAACTAGAGCCTTCCAATGATAAGAAGTTCCAAAAGGTTGGTTATGTTGAGAATTTATAAAATATTCTTGGTCTGACTAATCACTGATAATGACAACTATACTAAATAAATTTTTATTTGAATTTGTTTGATTCTATAAATTAACTCTGTTTGAAAAAGATCTAAAAGTTGGCTCATTCATGACAAATTTTTAATAAATTTTGTATTGATCTTTTTTTTTCATTTGTACTTTTCCAGTTAAATGATGAAATAAGCCAGAACTTGCTGTCAATCAAAACATTCTTGTATGGCTCAACTGATCAGGAGCCCCAGGCAGACATCATTCCCCAGGTGGCCCAAGAAATCTACCAAGTCAATTTGCTGATCATTCTAATTGAGAATCTTCACAAGCTGGAATTCGAGGCCAGAAAGGATGTCGCTCAGATTTTGTCAAATTTGCTGAAACGCAAAATTGGCACCAGATCGCCGACCATCACGTACATTCAGGAGCATCAAAACATCTTGAATATGCTAATGAATGGGTGTGTTTTTATGTTTTTGCCTTTTCTTTTTATCTATTCTTATTCTTTTATTTTGTTTTTTTTTATTTGATATAATTACCTATATCACATTTTTATCATTGTTACTCTTACATTTCACTTTTTTCAGTTGATGATATTTTCATACTATTTAACGTCAATAATTATTTTAGATTCAATCAGGCATTTTTAAATCTTAAAAATTGTCATGCAAATGTCGATGGCAGTTTTTCATTCTGTCTTTCGGCACAAATGAGCATAGATTACATTATTTTAGTCTATATCATTATTTATTTATTTTATATAAAAAGTTTTTCAAATTATCTCTGGTCTTTTCTGAATGTTTATGAATTCAGATAAGGCTTTATATGTAAATAATTTCATGATAATAATAATTTTATTAGTAATAATTATTATTATAAATGTTATGAATAATTTTGTTTCAAAGGTATGAGAACCCAGAGATAGCACTGAACACAGGCCAGATGTTGAGAGATTGCATTAGGTATGAGGAACTTGCAAAAATCGTCCTCAACTTCTCGGCTTTCTATAAATTGTTCGACTACGTCGAAATGTCTGCATTCGATATTGCCTCCGATGTCTTTGCTACATTCAAGGTTTTTTTCTTGTTTTTTGTCCTCCATCCCTTGTGCATCCAACATTTAATTATTTATTTATCCATTCATCTATCCTCCATCCATCCATCCATTCTTTCTTTCATTTATCTCCATACATTCACACACCCATATATTCAGACTTTAATCTTTCCATCATTCATTCGCATCCATTCTTTCATTAATCCATCATTTATTCATTTTTTCAATTCTTTTTTCTTTTATTCTCTCGTTAATTAATTAATTTATTCTTTTATTCTTTCCTCATTCGTTCTCTCATTCAATTTATTCCTCTTACCATCTCATCCCTAAAACCGCAGGACCTGTTGACGAAGCACAAAATCCTGGCGGCGGACTTCCTCGACGCCCACTACAAGGAGTTTTTCAGGCACTACGACCGACTGCTCAACTCGGAAAACTACGTCACCAGGAGGCAGGCTCTTAAGGTCTGCTAAAAATAGAAATTATTTATTATTATTCTTATTGCCATTAAGTCCGACCCATAACTATAAACAAGGATTGATTGATTTATTGATTGTTATTAGTATTATTTTATTATTTTGGTTGCTGTGTGAGGATTATGATGTAAACTTTGCATTACTTAGGCATTCATTCATTCATTTATTTATTTTCATTAATTTTTTTTTACTTTTTTAGATTGTTTTTATTAGTTTTTATTCCAGTTATCTTGTTGAATTTAGTATTTTTTTTAGGATTGAATTTAGAAACGGGCTTTGTCACCTGCAATCACTATTGTTATGTTATATCATAGTAACTATCATAAAATTGTAAATTTAATTTCAAATAATTTTAGTAAATTATCATTAATTATAAATATAATTTCAAATAATTATGATTATTCCACATAATAGCTGTTGGGTGAGTTGTTATTGGATAGGCACAACTTCACCATCATGACCTTGTACATCAGCAATCCAGATAACCTCAAACTCATGATGAACATGCTGAAGCAGAAGAGTAGAAATATACAGTTTGAAGCTTTCCACGTTTTCAAGGTATCTCTATCTCTCTCTCTCTCTCTCGCTCTCTCTCTCTCTCTCTCTCTCTCTCTCTCTTTCTCTCTTTCTCTTTCTTTCCACATGTGTTTCTGTGAAGATAAGTTTGTTTGTGTGATGTGTGTGTGTGTGTGATGGCATTTGTATAAGTATTTTCATGTAACTAACTAAATAATGTGAAAATATAAAATGACCAAGCATGTTTAGAAAGTATAATTTCGTGACAGAAAATGTATTTAATCACCAATGTAGTATAACTGCATGTGTATTTGTCATTAAGCTTTGCAGTTGGATGGTGTTAGAGGAATGTGGTTTAACCACTACTTAAATTATTTATCACTGCTGAGTGCTTCGGTTGAAAGGGCATTCAAAATGGAGAGTGGAGCGCTTTTAGAATTATATTTTCTATATATAGATTCATTTTTAAACTTTCTCCCGCCAAGGTTTTTGTGGCCAACCCGAACAAACCGCGCCCAATTCAAGAGATACTCTATCGCAACCGCGAGAAACTCATCGATTTCTTGACCAACTTCCACAACGACCGCACGGACGACGACCAGTTCAACGAAGAGAAGGCCTACCTGATTAAACAGGTCAAGGACATGAAGGAGCTTGACCCGGCCTAATTAGTTTTAATTGGTGACCTCAATATGACATTATTATTGTTATTTTTATTATTATTATTTACCTCTGGTGTTCTGATAAATTGAAAAATAATTTTTACTGGTGTTATTATTATTGATGTTATTCTTTTCATGGTTCTTATTATTTATATTATTCGTTTTATTATTATTATTATTATGGTTATTATTTGAAAGTTGTCTTCTGTGTTGTGTGTGAATTTATTTTCAGAAATTATTAAGAAATAAAATATGACCACCAACATTCGATTATAGTTGAATAAGTATATAAATCAATAGAATTTCGGACTTAATACAATTTTCATTTAAATAAATAAATGAATTACATTTAATTAATTATTTATTTTTTCACTTAATTTTCCTTTTAAATCTTCACACAAAATAATAATAATAATAATATGCAAAAAATATATTATAGACTTGAAAAGCATTTTATATTAAAGCCACAAGTTGGTTGATGTACTTGAATATTCTTGTACATATCATTCAATAACGTCGTAAAGTACAGACAAACACATACACACACACACACATGCATACACACACATACATGTGTACATACACTCATATACACATACATGCATACAAACGTACACACATGCACGCATACAATGATCTTCAATTTATACTATTATGATTGAATAGATGATTGACTTCAAATTATCAAGTATCAAATGGAATTTATTTTTCATTTTTAATATTATTCACTGGAATTGTATGACAAAATACTTATCTTTAAATTAAATTGTATTGTATTGTTTGTGTGGGTGTGTGTGTGTTTGTCTTTATGTTTGTGTACATGTGAGTAAATGAAAAAGTTTGTATTCGTGTGATTTTATGTTTTTCTGGTATAATTGCTTCTTTTAATACATACACAGACACATAAACATGTGTTAGCGCGCGAAAGAACACACACAATCACATACACACACACACACACATATATATATACAAATATATACAAACATATATATTTTAATTGTATAAATTTCGTGTAGATTCATTTTCATTCTTTCCCATAGAATAAACAGAATTAATATTTGTTATCTGTTAGCCCTAATTGAACCTTAATTTCACAAAAAATATTTAAGGTATTTATTTCTCTGGATAATTATTTCTTTTCGTAATAATATTCGCATTAATATTTTAATTACAATGATAATTATAGTTTGTAATTTTATAAGCGGAGCGCGAAAATGGATTGAGGATGATGAAATGGAAGATTGAATGAATCAGTAAATGAGTGAAGAGATGAACGAACGAAGGAATGAATGAAGGAATGAATGAATGGTTAATTGATTGATTGAATGAATGAATGAATGAACGTTCGCTTCCATTTTCTCCACACAACATTTTCAGCATTTTAAAATCAATAGACTAATTTACCATTAAGATGGATTTAATTGTGGTGTAACTTTAGTTAACATTTTAACGTAATATTTTAAAAATAACGTAAATATTGATAATAACAATTTTCTTTGCATTATTATTTATTACTTATAAATAATATTTCTTCTGTTGTAATAATAATGTTAATCGTATAATTTCAAGCTAATATAATAGCACCAAAAATATCTGTATTTAAGTTTACGTTATATATATATATATATATATATATATATATATATATATATATATATAATTATGTATATATATTTATAGTCTTTCGTTATTTTTTATTACAAACATTTCGATTGGTTTTTAATTGATGTATTTGAAAAATTGAAAAAAGTTGCGTTTTTTTCTTTCGTTCAAAATAACAATAATAATAATAATGATGATGATTATAATAATAATGATATTAATAATAATTATAATAATAATAATTGATATGGTCCTGGGAATTGGACTGCAGTGACTTATGCATTGTACACACAGGCGAAACTTTCGTTTCTTTCATATTCATATTTTCTAATTATTTTTGTTAGTATTATTATTATTATTATTATTATTCCCCAATATATTTAAGCTGGCGCGAGCCTTGGAGTGCCTTTCAAATGTAAACAAAAGATTACAAATGTGATAAGTATAGGGTGGAAATATTTTAGGTGCAAATATTTTATAGTCGTCATCATCATCATCATCATCATCAACGTCATCATCATAATCGTCAACGCCATCACCATCGTCGTCGTCGTCATCCCAATCATCATCTTTATCATCATCTCCATCACTATTATTAATATCTTTGTCAGTAGTAGTAGTAGTAGTAGCAACAGTAGTAGTAGTAGTAGCAGCAGCAGTTGTAGTAGTAGCAGTAGCAGTAGTAGTAGCAGCATTTTCATTACTCTATATGCTTTTAAGAATTATCATTGTCATGTTTTTTATCTACTATCTTCTTTATATATCATCTTACATCGTTATTGTTATCGCATTTATCTTAACGCAATCATTTACACACAGACACACACACACACACACACACATACACACACACATATATATTATTTTTACCACTGCTAACATTTACTCTTGTTTTAATAAGATATACCTTTCTTTAAAACAACAAACACAATCATATTTTTCAACCTATTTGATCTACCTTGCAAATGCATTTAAACTCATTCACACGCACACTTCACACACATAAACACACATACACACACTCACACACACACACGCACACAAGAACATATAAAATTTCTAGAAAATATCTTTATTAATGTCGTAATGAAATAAATAAGTTTATAAATACGCACGCATATCTCACTTTCGACCTACCTACATCGTGATAAGGCAGCGTACTTACATTAAAAACATGAACTGCAACAACAACAACAAATTCAATGTTATATATGACATCAATTACCATAACAACGACGAAGGGCGGGTATAGTTGTTGACAATTTTAACACAACGAGTAGAAATGATATTAACTTAGACATTACATTACCAACATTTAAAAATACAATAACGTTAGCAACAAAAAGGCAGTTTCACTCACAACAACATCAGCAACTATGACAACAACAACAACAACAGTAGCAAAAAATAGCAATCACAACAGAGTTTCAGTCCAATTTTGATTAACGTAATTGCAACTAACACCGTCAGCTACACTACAACAGTTATTGCTGCTATTGCTGACAACAATGTTAATGTAAGCGTTATTGATGTTGTTGTAGCAGCTGTTATTGAGGTTATTCGTTGGGTTAGTGTGAGCATTCAAGATGTTGATGTCTTTGTTGATGACGTTGACGTTGTTGCTGTTGTGGATTTTTCTGCAGTAGTAGCCGAGTTGAGTGCACTTTTGGCAGAGATGTTGGGGGTGAACTTTGCTCTGGTCGGAAACATCTAGTCCGTCTGGGCTTTCTAATGGTCTCTGTGTTTGTTTGTTTGTGTGTGTTTTTCTATGTTTGCGTCTCTGTATGTGTTTGTCTAGCTGTTTGTATGTTTGTGTGTTTCTATATGTTTGTGTTTCTGTGTGTGTATGTCTAGCTGTTTGTATGTTAGTTTGTTTGCTTGCATGTTTATTCTCAGTTGTACGAATGTTTGTATAGGTTTTGTTTATTCGTTTGCATTTTTGATTATCTACTGAATAACGAGACGCGAACAGTGTTTGCACAAATCGAAAACTGAACCGACAAGCATTATGAAATTTTTCGCATATTTAAAACCAAGCATTATAAGCAAGAGAAGATAACGTTTGCAAACAAACTTTCCTGCACGCACACACTCACACACATATACACACGCACACATAAACATACACAACACGCACACACGCACATACACACATACAAACACATGCAAGCACACACACATTCACATCCGCAAAATCATGTTAAAGATTTTGTATCCTACCTCAAAAAGTGGATTTCATAAAACTCCTCACACGCAAAGTGTACCACATGCAAGCTTTTTTCCTTACAAACATACCAACACAAACAAATACGCTTCCATCAAACACATCGACCCACCTGCTTGTGAGGGTAAACCAGAACATAGCATCTGAGGCACGATTGGCCAGTGTTCGCCCAGCTGTTGCCAGACATCCACTTGCGGTTACAACGAGGGCACAAGTACTCCCCGAAACACCGCTTCTTACCTGGTTTATGTGTTTTGTGTTGTTTGTGGAATTTGGTGACTTGCACTACTACTGCTGCTACTACTACTACTACTACTACTGCTACTACTACTACGATACTACTGTTACTACTACTACTACTATTACTATTACTACTATTACTACAACTGCAACTACTATTACTACTGCTACTACTACTAATACAGCTGATGCTGCTGCTGCTATTACTACTACTACAACTACTACTTCTACTGCTACTACTACTGCCACTACTACTACCATGACCACCACCACTACTACTACAATACTACTTCTATTACTACCACACATACAAAATTATTTTTAATTACTATTTGATTTTTTTTCATAAATTTAAACAAATTCACAAATAAGTTTAAACCTTGGTAAGGAGTGGTGGACGCCGAGACTTGCGACACCAGTGGTGACGTCGAAGCGGCAGCTGCTGGTGGTTGAGACAGTGAAAATGGAGAGAGTTGAGAAAGTGCATGGAATGGTGACAGCCATTGGTGGGGAGCGGTTGGCCCGAAGACAGGTGAAATAAACCCGCCAGCCGCCCTGAAATTCGGTGAGATTTGTGTCGAAATTGTTTGTGGGTGGAAAGCCTGCGAAAAATAAATCACTGGAGAAGTGTGGGGTAGTAGTTGGCGAGGTAGCTGTGTGGTTGTGGCCGTTGTGGTCGTCGTCGTGGTTGTTAGTGGCTGGTGTAGCGGCTGCTGTGGTTCTCCTGTTGCTGGTGGCAGCTGGTGGAAAAGTGGAATTTTTTTCTTTAGCGATTTATGATTATTTTCTATTATACTTATAATTTTGATTATGGTATTTTAATAATTTGAAATAATTTTGCTGGTTGCGGCTGTTATGAAATCTGATCTTTTAACTTGGAAACTGTTTTTGAAAGTTTTTAATCAAAAAATTCATTTATAAAAGCTTAAAACAAAAGAGTAGACCAAATTATCAACTTTAAATGAATGTTTCCTCCAAAAAAATATTGAAAACCCCCATTGGCAGAGAAAAACATAAAAGCAAAAACAAACGAAAATAACGAAAAACAAGCAAGAAGTGAAAAAGTGAGGAAAAGAGCCATACCAAGCTAATTATCTTTACAATTATGATGCAGTGCTAGCAAGAAAAAAATTTTTCTTCCGAAAAACCAAAAACATTTTTCATAATTTTAAAAAATTTTCAAAAAATCGCACGTAAACAAATAAAAAAGATCCTTATATAATGACTCATTATTAACAACATCATTATTTAGTGTTGATATACTAGTTAGTCGTGAGTTGTACTTCTATTACTGCTAGGGCTACTACCACTACTACTTTGAAGTTATGACTACTATTACTTCTACTTCTCCTACTACTACTTCTTCTATCCTTGAAATACACTTGACGATTTTGCAGCTGCTTCAAAAACCATTAGAGTATTTTTTGTTTGCCGCTACTTTTCCCACTACTACTACTACTACTACTACTACTACTACTACTACTACTACTACTACTGCTACTATTGCTTCTACTCTTTGTGTTTTAATTAGTTTTCTATTATTACTTTCCAATGCTGCTATTTCTATATTCAAATTGAAGCCATTAATTGATGAAATATAATTACTAGAGAAACGCACCTGATACGAGTTTGCTGAGATGATATTGTTGTTGACGTAGTTGTTGATGTTTCTGTTGATGTTGTTGTTGTAGCTGCTGACGTCATTGTAGAATATTTGGTTGCAATACATGATTTTTGGTTGTTTTTAATTTTATGATAATTAGGGATTGTTTCTTACGTTGTTGTAAAAGTGAACGCTTGGTAAATTTTTTCGCTAATGTTGACGCTGTTGTTGTTGAGTTGTTGTTGATTTGTTGTTGTTGAGTTGAGTTGTTGATTTGTTGTTGTTGAGTTGAGTTGTTGATTTGTTGTTGTTGAGTTGTTGATTTGTTGTTGTTAAATTGTTGTTGCTGTTTTTTTTGTATGCAGTCTTAATCCCAAAATTTATTTAAGGCCCCTGGAGCCCATGAAGAACGAAAAAAAAAACATTTTTTTAAGAAGCAAATTTCTCAAAAAACTTTCCGCAATTTGGCATGTTCACTTTCAAAAATTCATTCTTTAAAAAGATGAATTAACAAATAATATTATTATTAAATATGAAATAAAAGTTTGAAATATACTTATAAACTTCTTCTCTCACTTAATGGTTCAATTACCATTTTTACGATTGCGCGCAAGTAAGTTTAGCACGCCTGAACTTTTCCCCCATCTTCCTCCTCATCGCCATCCTCATCATCATTTTCATCATCGTCGTTGTCGTCGTCGTCATCGTCAAGTAGTTAAGTTAACG